ACATGGGTTTTGTGTTGCCTAGTTGCCACATACAAAATAATGTTCAGATGCTGCTGTGAATGAAGGGTTCACTTGAATTGTAGCCTCCATGACGTGGGATGAGATGGTCTTCTGGCACTAGAGACATCATCTAGGAGGTGATGGTGATATGCAATGCACATTTTAATTGTTCTTGAGAACCTGACTGATGTTCTTGGAGAGTCTGGATCTAGGTGACTTGCAGTTCTTCGTCAATCCATAAGTGGGTAAATAAGAATATATTGAACCACACCTGGTGGGAATACACGTATGTTTTGCATGTTAATTCATGTTAATGAGATTAATGTCTCATCACCAAATTTCTGGACTCACTTGTGGTTGGAGGGAACATGCTTCTTGCCTAGCGTGTAGGTTCACTTCCTTCTTGGCATGTTCCCCGTGTCTTCATTGAGTGATGTCTTGTAGCTTTTCTCAAGTGATTGCTGTGGCAGGATCTGTGTTGCTGCGCCTGTCCTGGAACTGCTGCAGAGTGAGCTTTGAGTGCTTCCCAGCACAGGTTGGTCGGTTCAAGAGCATCCAACAGTTTTGCCTTTCAGACTGTGCTATGGAAACATGTAAATTTTCTTGTTCTCCACATGCTCCTTGTCCTCTGTGTTGCCAATTACAAACTTGCTCTTTTGCCAGCAAAAGAAAAAGTGAAGGCGCATGGATAGTGCAATTTGTAGGTGCTCAGCTTGGCCTCTCAGTGGGAAGAGTCAGGATTGAGTGCATGCTGATGTGTAGTGGTGGATCAGGCTGCAGGCTGCTGTCTCATTCCTGCTGAACTCAACTTTTAGTTTTAAGCTTGTTTTCTTCCATCACTTTCAGATGTGGGGGGGCTACATTTTCAGAGTGGAGGGACCCATTTGCTGGCCTGACCTGCCATCTGGGGAGATTTACTGCTCCCCAGAGGCTTGCATTCTGGATGTTGTGGCTACTGAGGCTCAATGGGCTGTATGACTTATCTCTGCTGCTTTTCTATGTAGGCGCCAGTGATACTGTCAGGAGCAACCTGAAAAGTATCAAATATGACTGTGTGGTTCTGGATGATTGTTAATGGAATGGGGCCCAGGTGGTATGGGAAGGGGTAAGAGTTTGAGGGTGGCTAAGCAAGTCCTGCAGAGTGGCACTGGGTTGTGCAACTGCTGTTGGCAACAGGGTTTTGGTTTCTATGGCCAGGGAACTGTCTTTCAGGATTGACGACTGCTTCAAGGAGACAGGATACAGCTGACTAAGCAGGGCAGAGATACCACCAGGGCTAAGAACTTTAAACTGGGAATAATAGGGAAAGGAGACATTCCTCTCATGTAAGATTAGGTGAGGAAGCAAAAGCCCTGGGGTCATGTGAAGAGAAGAGAAAGCAACAGAAAAAGGATGAAATGCAAACACCCCAACACCTCAAGCATAGGCATGGAAAGAAGGAAGTGTCTCCAGGACAGTATTGTGGGGAAGGCTGTCCTGTCCTTCCTGGGGAATCCTGGTGCTTGGTGCTTCTGAAATGCCTGTAACACTGGTGTGTGGGAATGAGAGGTCTGGAAGCACTTGGAGAACCATGACCTCATTGAGATCATGGGTGGCTCACACCACTAGAGTGCTGTGATGGATACAGGCTTTTCAGGAAGATAAGGAGGAGGCGTTGCCCTTTTTGTGAGAGAGCAGTGGAGATGCTTGGAGCTCTGCCTGAGGATAGCTTCTGAGCTACCTGAGAGCTTGTTGGTCAGGATTAGTGGGCAGACCAAGATGAGTGACATTGTGGCATGTGTCTGCTGCTGACCCAGTGAAGAAGAGGAGATAAATGAGGCCTCCTTCCATCCACTGGGAAAAGGCTAACGTGACCTAGTCTTTTGCTCTGCTTGACCTAATACGCCCCTGACCAGTTCTTCCTCATTAAGTAAAGGTCAAGGCAGTGACTGAGACAGTGGAATTTGGGATTTTTAGAGGATGGAGCAGATGAAAAAGCAGGGCCACAACCCTGGTTATCAGCAGAGTAGACAAGCCTCTTCAGGGCTCTACTTGGAAGAATCCCATGAGTTACAGCTCTAGAGAGAAAAGGCACCCATGAGAGCTGAGTTTATATTCAAGGGTAGCCTTCTCTAAGCCTCAAGGGTGATCCATTTTAACAGTCAGGAAATAGAGCAAAAGTGCAGGAGACCTGTAAGGATGAGCAAGTTTTACAGTGCCTTTTTAATAAAGAGTGAAGGAGTCACTGTACTAGAGACTGAACTGAGTATCAAATAAATGTAAAGTGATTGAAAAAAGTGGGCGGAAGGGTGTCTGTAGGTCATACCAAAGCAAAATCACAGGTGTGCTCTAAACAGAGGCACTTTGGGAACTGTAATTCTCTGGAGATTTTTGGAGGATCAGTAGACTCTTGAGTTAAGTTCCTTCCACCAGAGCAGAGTTTGAGGGTCTTGGGAACAGAAATACTTCCCAGAATTTCCCTGTGCTGGGCCAGAAAGGGTGTTTCTAATGGCTAACAGTTTGAGGCTAGAAGTGTTGTCAGGCACATTGTCAGGCTAGTTCAGCTGAGCTGGCACTACTTACATTCCTTTGAGCCTGTTGCTCTGTTTGGTTCTCTCCACTTGAGCAGTGCTGAAAATAAACAAAATGTTACTTTTATGATCTAGAAATAGTATCTTGAACTGCTGTCCAGTTCAGTCTGACAATCTAAAACTTTTATCAATGCTATCATGTATCCATATTCCCTTTGCATCCCCTTGTTCGAGTTCTGGCAAAGGTTTTGGTTTTTTTGTGGAGGTGTTTTGTGGTTGTCTTTGTGTGTGTGCAGTGGTTGACGGTGTTGCTGCTCCCAGCAGTCTGCTGCCTCCCTGTGCTGGAAGCTGCAGTGTGTCCTTAAGTCTCAGTTATTTCTGTCCACTTAGTGGATGAGCTTAAAATTCTAGTGAAAGTGGCTTTTTGACAAACACTTTGGGCTGCGATTTGAATCTGTGCATTTCCTTCTCATTTTTGTTACTGGAGTAAGAGCAGAGACAAGGTGCTGCAGGAGAAAAATGCATTCTAAGTTACCACAACTGGTGATGCTGGGAATGAATCAGCCCTTTCTCATTTAGCAGCACAGTCTCTGGTTCTCTTTTAACCAACAGGTTCTGAAACTGCTTTCATAATGCAATTTTTAACTCCATGGAGATATACCTTCTCTACAGAGGAATTGCATTAAGTGTTTTTTCTCTGTTCAGCCTGGTGTTGTTTTGGAGTTGTTAAGCAGTGTATTGTCTGTAATGCCTCAAAAGTATAAATGATTTACCTCCTTTTTAAGTATCACAGAAGCAAGACTTCTTTTTTGTGACAGCATTCAGAAAAAAATTAGGGAAAAAGGCTTTCTTCCTTTCATTTTGACGTGCAATTCCAGTTTATGCCTTGGGAGTGCTGGGAATGGGTTTGTCCTCATGTCCCGCACTGTGATTTAGTGTATCTCTCTGAACTTACAGCAGTACAGCCCTAAGTTCCTGGTATATGTCCCATGGCAAGGATTTTGGCACATTTAAGTGTTGAAGGGCAGATAGTCTAAAGAGGGACCAGCATTAGAGAAGAGTTGTTGTAGACACAGCACCTGATGGTGCAGGATAAGTACTTGGCCTTTAGGCATTGTATTTTATACTGCAACTTGCAAATGCTGTATTTTCACTCAAGGGTCATCTATAATAAAAGGCTTTACAGCCTTAAAATCTCATTGTTTTATATTTTTTCCTTGGCATTACTGAGTTCTGTATTAAAGACTTTGCTAAAGTCTTGGTACATTTTGGTAGGACATCCTAAGCTTTGTAACTACTAATAGAGAGTTGGTTGTGCCATAGGCAACCTCTGGATATCAGCTATGAGGAAAAAAACACAACAAGAGACAACCAGCCCCAAAACTTAAGTTAAATAAAGCTTAAAATAATTAATGATTTAAAGTAGTAAGATTACATGGAGAGGCAACCAAGTAATTTCTCATATGTGATTCACTTTTAAAGTAAGGCTTCTCAGTCTGCATACTGTCACCTTGGTGAATTTCAGAAATTTTACAAGATTATAGTCTATGAGGAATTTAATTATATCCTGACTGCTTTTAATCAGTCTTTTTGAAGACCAGATGGTCGAGTCTGTCACTGATGCTACTCTGATGTTGAAATAGGCACTCCTAGGAATAACACAGTTTGCTTTCTTGTTCCTGCGTTTTATGCTTTGTTATGAAATCTCTCTTTCTAGAGTTGGTACATTCTGCTTTTGGCTCTTCTCACTCTGATTACTTTGTTTCTGAATTTACATTAGTAATAGTTATTCTCTTTTCATAGAAGCAGTAGCAGCAATCTTACATGGTCTTGAAGTTTCAGCTGTCTGATACACCTTTCATGTAACCTTCCATTCCAAAGAAAAGAAAGGTGTAGAAGACTCAGAGGTGCCTCCCTGCAATCTGGATAGCTGATGATGTAAATATATTGAGTTGGGACTGAGAGAGGTCTGTAGATCCTTATCCTCTGAGGTAGAGAACAAGAGTCACTAGACAGTTCATATTTCTGTAGTTCAGCTAGTTACAGATTCTTTTTAGCTTTATCGTGCAAGAACAGCAGAATCGAATTTGACCTTGGACCTGTATTACAGAAAGTAATTCTATAATAATTTATCTTTAAATTATACTACTGTTTAAAAAATATCTCCCAAAGCAGCAGTATTGGAAATGAGAGCAATTTAAGATCTGATTGTAGGGTGTGCTGATCTGCTTCAGTTTATCTCTTTGAAAGACTTGCACATTTCAAACATAGTATATTTTGTGATGTCCCACTGGGAATAAAAATGTCTTGTCTTTGGGACTAGATCACATCTAATTGTAGGTGCATATTAATTGAAAATGTTTGATATAGAATGTCCTTAAACAGAAACAATACCATACACCCTTTTTGTCAAAGAAAGCTTTGTAAAACTTGGTGCTGTCTTTCACCTCTTGGATGGTCTTTATGATGTTCTCATATCTGAATACTTTTCCCCTTAGGTGAGTGGAATCAAGAGTCTCTATGAGTCTGAACTGGCTGATGCTCGAAGAGTTCTGGATGAAACTGCTAAAGAGAGGGCCAGATTGCAGATTGAAATAGGAAAACTGAGGGCAGAACTTGAGGAGTTCAATAAAAGGTAAGGAAAGGCCCTCATTTTTAATTTTATTTTTAAATTAGAATGGGCAATATTTGCAGTGAGAATGATGCTGTTGATGCTTCTTAAAATGCCTTAGTGAGTGTCTTCTGGAAGCATTGTAGATCGATGAGAACATCCAGGCTTGTCAGAGGGAAATTCCTCAGTTTATTGATACAGCCAGTGAAAGCAGATATTCCAACCAGTTTATACACAAATGTATTTGTAGAATATAAGATGAACATGCTGCAATGGGAGCAATTCAGACATCTGAAGTCTGAAATGGGGGGCTGCAGCTGCTTGTGTCCTGTTGTGCCTCTCCTTGTGTGAGTATGCACGCGTGCAGCTCCTTGGTAAAACGGGTTGAGAAACTGATGTAGATTAAAATTGACCCATCCAAGGAAGGTCACAAAGGCCACAAAGATGCTCTGAGGGCTGGAGCAGCTCTGCTCTGGAGACAGGCTGAGAGAGTTGGGGTGTTCAGCCTGGAGGAGAGGCGGCTTCAGGGAGACCTTAGAGCACCTTTGAGTGCCTGAAGGGGCTTCAGGAAAGCTGGGGCGTGACCTGGGACAAGGGCAGGGAGGGATGGGACAAGGCAGAATGGTTTCAAGCTGGAAGAGGGGAGACTGAGATTGGATATGAGGAAGAAACTCTCTTCTGTGAGAGTAGTGAGACACTGGAAGAGGTTGCCCAGAGAAGCTGTGGCTGCCCTGGAAGTGTTTGAGACCAGGTTGAATGGGGCTCTGATCAACCTGGTCTAGTGGGAGGTGTCCCTGCCTATGGCAGTGTGTTTGGAATTACATGATCTTTGGGATCCCTTCCAACTCAAACTAGTCTGTTACTCTCTGTATTTTACAATATGTACAAGAACACAACTCATGAATTTAGGTTTTTTTCTATGGAGCCAAGTTCTTAACTAGGTTAATTAAGCAGTTGGATAGCTTCATTTTATAAAAAAAACAAACTTGGAGTACAAGTCCTGTGAGGGAATTGAGATTGTTTAGTTTGGAGAAGAGGAGGCCAAGTGGAGACCTCATTGCTCTCTACAACTACCTGAAAGCAAGTTGAAAGGAGGTGGAATTTGGCCTCTTTTCCCAAGTAAATAATGATAAGACTGGAGGAAATGGCCTCAAGTTGTGCTTGGGGAGATTTAGACTAGATATTAGGAAGAATTTCTTTACTGAAAGGGTAGTCAGGCACTGGAACTGCCCAGGGAGGTGGCAGAGTTGCTGTCCCTGGAAATAAAAGAAATAGAGATGTGGTGCTGAGGGACATGATTTAAGCACTGGATGGGTAGATGAGGCAAAGCCTGGAGATAGATACATGTAGAATTCATCCACCTGCTTCTTTTAACAGTCTTCCTGCTTGAGCTGCAAGCTCCCAGCTCTGAGTTGTGTGACTGTCTTCTTGCAGCTTCCTCTCTCTGCTTACAACCTGCATGGTCATTAGAATATTTCCCTTGAGCAAACTTGTTTGCTTTCTGGAAAAAAGAACTTGTATGTGGTGTCCTTCAAAGAAAGTTGGCACATCTCAACAGACACATCACATTGACTGCAGTTTATAATTTGCAGGCATTGTAGAGACCCCCAAAATAGGTTGTCTCCTGTCATGGGCAATAAACCAGACTGAAATGATAGATGCCAATGTGAATGAAAGTGGTTTGGAGTGTCTTCCAGTGTAAGTGTTTGTGAAGGAGTAGGAGTTTGTCACAGTCAGGAATTCTTTATGGAGCTTTGCCAAGCTGTACATTGAACACTTCTGTTCCCATCTCCCTGGGAATGCTGCCTGGCTTCTGCAGGTGAGAGTAAGTTCTGGGCTTTAGTAGCATTTGCTACTGTTCATATTCCATGTGAGTAAAGGGTATTTGCCCTTTTGGTACTGCTCAAACAGAAGACTTCCAGATCTGGTTGTCTGACACATGCACAGTGGCTTGTTTTACTACACGAGACATGTGATGCAGGGACTCTTGAGAGTTTTTTGAAGCCTTTCTGGTTGCAGCTAAATAATTGTCTCTTTAAGTAGAATTCATGTTTTGTCTCTGTCTCCTACAAGCTGCTGAGCTTGAAGACAGTGCACATATGTTGCAGAACAAGATTCGTTGTGACTGCTTTGACCAGTGAATAAGAAAAATTGATTACAATAAAATGAAAACAAATTCAAAGATCCCACACTAAGGAATGCAGAGAGAGCACATGAACCTTGTTGATAAAGTGCATCACAAACTAAGTGTGTTGATATATTTTGTGGTTAGAAAAAGATGCACATCATGCTGAAGCACGCATATAAATACTGTCTGTAGGGCACACCAGTACCCCATAAAGCAGTACTTTTGTAGAATAATTTGGGGCATCACATTTTGTTATGGACAAATTCAGAAACTTGAGAGGACAGTGTAAGTGATCAGAAGTGGAGGACTGGGAACAGAAGACTTGGGGTTTGGATGGGGGAGCAAGGTTTGTATAATCTAGAACTTTTCAGCTCTAGAAGGTTTTCACCTTTTTTTTTTTTGTTGTTGTTGTTGTCGCAGTCTGTTTTCCATGTTTGGAGCTGCAGACCAAATGCAGAGCTTCTACAAAGACTGTAGTTTTTCCCTTGCTGGTCCATGATACATGTTCTTTCTTAGGCAGTGCATTTACTGCACTTTGGTACAAGTTGTGGGTTTTAAGAGGCGTTTAGGATTATTTCTATTAGCTATATTTGCAAGTTACTCTTGAGAACTGTCTAGTGGTTCACTAATCCTAATAAAATGTGTGTAATAAAATACCTGTAGTTGTAACTAAGACATGCTTAAGATGCACCCACATATAAATATAATTACCTTTTGTTTTTTCAGCTACAAGAAGAAAGATGCAGACTTGTCCGTGGCTCAGGGTCGCATTAAGGATCTGGAAGTGCTGTTCCATAGAAGTGAAGCAGAACTCAACACTGTCCTGAATGAGAAACGCAGTCTGGAGGCAGAGGTGGCTGATCTACGTGCCCAGCTTGCTAAGGTAGGGCAGTGAGTACTTCCTTGCTTCAGCACAGGAGAGACTGTGTTGTAAAACTTGTTTTTATTTGTAGTCAGTTTGTAAACATTGATGCAGCTCACTTACTGCTGAAC